ACCACCTCCATCCTAGAGAGCCCTAATCTATTTCTGTGTTTGTGGATTTGCCTGTTTGGAACATTTCAAACACATGAGTCATACAATATATGATCCTTGTGACTGGCTTCTTTCACCTAGTATATATATTTTTTTAGACATTTATCCACTTTGTATTTGTATTGCATTTTATATGGCCAAATAATATTTCATTGTATATACTATCTTTTATTAATCCATGCATCACTTGATGGACATTGGGGTTGCTTCCACTTTGGCTATGATGGATAATGCTGTTTTGAAAAAAGAATTATACAATTTTTGTATGGATATGTGTTTTCACTTCTTTTGGGTAAATTCCTAGGAGTGGATTTGCTGGGTTATATGGCAAGTTTATGTTTAACCATTTGAGTAACTGCTATTTGAGACTGGTGAAATGGCTGCATCATTTTTCATTCCCACCAGTAGTGTATGAGGGGTCTGATATCTCCAAATTCTTATCAAGACTTGTTATTATCTTTTTATTATAGTTTTTCTAGTAATTATGAAGTAGCATCTAGTTGTGGTTTTAGTATATCTCCCTGAGGGTTGAATGCCATTCCGTGTGTGTGTGTGTGTGTGTGTGTGTGTGTGTGTGTGTGTTTTGAGAATTGTCTATTAAGGTCATTTGCCATTTTATATATAATTTGGGTTATCTTTTTGTTGTCAAGTTGTAGGACTTTCAGATTCTGGATGAAAGTCTTTTTATCACATAAAAGATTTGCAAAAATTGTTTCTGTTCTGTGGATTGTCTTTTCATTTTGTTGATGATATTCTTTCCTCCTTTTCTTTTTGTTAGTTCATTTTATTTATACATAACATTTTGACATAATTATAAAAGCATGGGATGTAATTTACTCCAATTTAGTCCCAGTACTTCCCCTTTCCTTCCCTTCCTCCCTCTCCCTGTTCCTGTCCCTCTACCCACTGGTCTTTCTGCTGTTTACTTATAGTTTTTCTTTCAGTTGATGCTATTCTTTATACAAAAGCTTTTAAAGAGGCCTAATTCATGTACTTTTTTTTTTTTCATTTTGTTGCTGTGCTTTTGGTATCATAGATAAGAAAGAATTGCCTGATCCAAGGTTAAAAACACTTACTCCAATATTATGTTTACTTTCAGAGTTTTACACAGGATTCTGCCCTTATCAGTAGGGAATAAATACATTGCAAGACTTTTTGTGGATGCCTGAAATTGCAGATAATACCAAAACCTATATAACAATATTTTTTCTTCTACATACACATCTGTGATAAAATTTAGGTTAGGCATAGGAAGAGATTAATAGCAATGACATTAAAATAGAACAATTATAACAATACAGTGTAATTAAATGTACATGATTATGGTCTCTCACCAGATATTGTATTTTAGTTGTCCTTCTTGTCACTGAGTGTGGGTAACTGAAACCACAGAAGATAAAACAGGATGGGAGAGGTGTTCTGTCATTTGACATCTGTGATTCATTTTGAGCTAAATTTTCTCTATGGTGTGAGGTAGGAATCTACCTTCAATCTTTTGTTTGTGGTTGTCCAGTTATTCCAGCACCATTTGTGGAGTAGATTATCTTTCCTCATTGAATGGTCTTGGTACCCTTTTTGGATATATAACAGCTTTTATTTCTCTAACATCTTTACAATATTGGGATTTGGGCATTTTGTTTAACTATTAGATTTCCTTCTATTTTATGCAAAAATATCTTCTTTTGAAAGAGTAAAACACAGAAAGTCACATACAAACACACCCAGACATACTTGCCCCCTCACCTAACCTCATCTACATAGGTGTCCCCCCTTTACTAAAGACCCCACACACTCAGAATAATAATATTTGAATGGAAAAGTTGGTAGGTTGGGCTCTTCATTCACATGTGACTACAACACAAGGTCATTTACAAGAGTTTGCCCATGATATGCCAGTGGCAAATGAGTCCATGACAAGCTGCTCATTCTGCTTGACTTCTTTGTGAGGGATTAGAACACTGGTTTTCTCAAATGCTGCAGTATCCTAAGTATGCACAGAGTTAGAAAGATTTATAGAAGAGTGTGACAGTTTAATGCTGGATGGTCACTAGGGAATTAGAGAAAGAAAGGAAAAATATGTGTTCACTTTTTAAGTCTGGTTACAAAAAGACTTGGGCAGTTAGAGGTTTCTCAAAATGAGGAGCAAAGTTTGGCAGGGTCATTAATTAGTAAGCTTTCTTGGAACTCAGCCTGTTTCATAGTCCCTAGATGCCTGAGAGAGTTATGTAATTTAACTTTCCAGCTCTAGGTGAGTCACTTAGTTATTCATCCATTCAACATGGATTTACTGAGCGCCTACTAAGTGTAGGCAGTATGCAAGGTGCTGGGTATGTACATGACGGTTTTCAATACACACAGAATCCCTGTTCTCATGGCATTTACAATCTTGCTCATATATAATTACAAATATAAAAATAAAGGCAGGCACAGTGGCATACACCTGTAATCCCAGCTACTTAGGAGGCAGAGGCAGAAGATTGCAAGTTCAAGGCTTTCCTGGGTGATTTAACAAGACCCCCTGTCTCAAATAAAACAAACGTAGCATAGAGAAATATGATTAATCCCAGAGGGGGAGGCAGTATGATAGGGGCAAAGACTCAACATGGGTCAGGGTGCCTGGGTTTCAGTGCCAGCTGTGATTTTTGAATATCCCCTGTACTTCTCAGGTTTCTCTTCTATAAAATATTAATAATCATAGCACATGTATTTTATGTCTTTTTTTGTAGGGTATTATGAAGATGTAATTTGTGCTTAGAGTCTGGAACATAATAAACATTTATAAAATTAATAAAGTCAGTTTACATAATGCTGTATATTTATTTGTTAAGTCATTTTTCTCTTTTTAAAATGGAATGTTTCTTTCCATAGAAGGCTTGGAGTGAATTGGATTTTTCTCTGGTTTCAATTATGAAAGCTTCATGGTCAAATATTACATAACACTTAAATATTAAAAGGCTCAGCCAGGCACCATGGTCTGCTCCTATAATCCTAGAGGCTTGGGAGGCTGAGGCAGGAGGATCACAAGTTCAAGGCAAGGTACTTAGTGAGGCCATAAGCAATTTAATGAGACCCTGTTTCCAAATAACAAATAAAAGGGGAGGGATATAATTCAGTGATAAAATGTCCCTGGGATCAATCTCAGTAACAATAACAAAATTGCAGGGAAATGGATGGCATTAAAGCAGATTATGCTAAGTGAAGCTAGCCAATCCTTAAAAAACAAATGCCGAATATCTTCTTTGATATAAGGGGGGGCGACTCAAAACACAGCAGGGAGGAAGAACATGAGAAGATTACCATTAAACAGGGACGAGAGGTGAGAGGAAATGGGAGAGAGAAGGGGAATTGCACGGAAGATGGAAGGAGACCCTCATTGATATACAAAATTACATATAAGATGGTGTGAGGGGGAAGGAAAAAAAAGAGAGAGAAATGAGTTACAGTAGATGGGGTAGAGAGAGGTGATGGGAAGGGAGGGGCGGGGGGATCGTCGGGGTTACGAAAGGTAGCAGAATACAACAGACACTAGTATGGCAGTATGTATAAACGTGGCTATATAACCAATGTGATCCTGCAATCTGTACACGTGGAAAAATGAGAATTCAGACCCCATTTGAATCAAATGTATGATATATGATATGTCAAGATCATTATAATATTTTGAGCAACTAATAAAAAAAATACTAAAAAAAAAGTAAGCAAACAAACAAAAACCAAAGGCTCCCTTTCCACTTCAATACCTGCTCCCCAGAAGCAGCCACCATATTCTTGTTTCTTGTCACTCCTCCATATAGGCTTTGTGGGTTTGTCAGTGTTTATGTCTGCGTGTTCGCATAGAGGTGGTGAGGTTTGTCTTAACACAGTTCAGTCCTAGTGCACGTATTGCTACACTACTTTGGTTATTTAAAAATTGACAGTATGACCTGAGAATTAGTTTCATGACCATTCATTTAGATTCAGATTTGCTTCTTTCTTTTACCGGAAATAGCCTCATAGTCTTACTTTGTGTGGATGTACCTTCCTTCCTGGGACTGGGACCCTGCTGTGGACATTTCCATACGTAGATGCGGACACTTTACGAGTTCCAAATTCAAACCTTTACAGACATCATTTTCCCGGGTCTTGATTGCCAGTTTTTAAGCCTGTACTTTCTTCCCACATGCAGTGGGGCTCTCTATCCCTTTTATGTACTTGTGATACCTGGACCTTTTTTTTTTTTTTTCCACTGAATCTTGGAAAGATCTTGAAATCAAAATTGGAGCCAAACTAGAAATCTAGTATCAACTCCAGAATGGAAGTAAACCACTGATTAGCAAAGAAAGTACAGAAACACACATAGAAAACCATGTCTCATTCTCTGGAAGGATGCAATTCCGTTGCCAATCTTTGCTGTTCAGCACTGTGCTTCTTGGAACGCTTTTTTTTTTTTTTTTTTTTCCAGTTACAGTTCATCTGAGGACATTTGAAAGATTCTTCCAATTACAGTGCACTTTACTATTAATCAGGAAAGGCAATTATATTTTCTTCAAGAAGATTCTAGATAGCTTTGTTGTTCAATTGTTACCTAATTATTTCACTAAAATAAGAGGTTGGGTAGGAAATCAGCACCCTAGGATGTATGAACATTGTGATCAGGGTAAACCAGTAAATGATTCTGATTTAATGACCATGTCTTTGTTGACTAAAACTAATGTCAGTAATTTTTTTTTTTTAAATTTAATTTTCTTTTTTCATGTGGTGCTCAGGATCGAACCCAGTGCCTCACGCATGCTGGGCAAATGCTCTACCACTGAGCTACAACCCCAGCCCGTCAGTAATTTTTTTAATGTGTCTCTCTGATGAGTTTTAAGAAATATATTGTAGACGCTGAATTTGAAGTGCAAAGACTATTTCTCTTCATGTGATTTCAGAAAACTCTTGACATTGATTTTTCTCAACCTCTGTGCCTGTTTGCTTTACAGGGCACTGTGTGGTGAGTCTGATCAAGTGGACATCATTTGCTCTCATCCCAGACCTCTCTGGTGAGTACTCTGCACCTAGTGGTGAAGATTTATTGGTGGTGGAGTTCTAGAACTTTCTGTCTGGAAAAGGAATCTCTTCCTCCACACTGTTGCCCCATCTGAAGCCTCTTGAAACTTGTTCACGATGTTTTCCTTGATGTGGTGGGGTGTTCAGCAGAATCTCTTAGGATTTTCTAGGTTTCAGTTCATTCATTCTATGCTGACTTGAGCACTACAGCTTTTGTTAGATATTCTACTTGGTGTCTGTGGTAGCGTTGCCTGGTCCTAGTAAGCAAGAGGTGCATTTGAGGTTTTCATCCTCCACAGTTCTTTCTGAGGGAAAACATATATGACCCTTTGGTCCTATGTGGGTTTTACTGTGAAGGTTTCCACTAACATGAAAACTCACAGCCAAGCTCATTGTCAGCTAAAATCCTCCACCTGGAGACAACTACCTGCAGGGATAATGTCCGTAAATTCTTCCAATGGTCCCCAAATGTTCTATTTCACAAACCTTTCATAAAATGCCCAAATGGGAACTGGAACTATCTTTATATTGTCAATTTGTTTTATTTACTGGAACTTGCCAATGCTTTATGCTAGAACCAGATTCCTAATCAACACAAGAGTATTTTTTTTTCTAACCTCATAATCATCTTGCTGTTTTCTAATTGCAGCAATATTTTTTTTTTTTTAAAAAAAGTATCCCTTATCCCTTCTTTCTTGGATGGATAAGAAGTCATTTTATAGTGATCATGCAAATCAGCAACTTTGCTGTTCTCCCTATAGGAGAGGTCAGTGTCCCAGGCTTTCAACACCAGTGAGTTTGTCTTCAGTGTGCTGTGTGTCACATCAGATACCGCATTACCTTCTGCCAGTGCCTATGGCTGACTTCCTTCCGGCCTTTCTGTGAGGGGAGGGAGGGAGTCACATAACCTGACACTTAACGATGACAGATGACATGAGAATACCAAGAAAGTAGATTTATTATCAAATGTTCCTCCCTGTTTTTAGTAGAGTGCACTATATTTTACTATTCTCTGAGGATGACTCATAAGCCTTGTCTTTGTAGGCAAAGCAGAGTTGAGGGGTGCTGAGAATTTTAGTGACCTTAAATCAGTATAGACATATCATCTAATTTTTACTCCTTTTTTGGGCTGTTCCCTTTCCTTGTAATTGTTGTATCCTGAAATAAGTCCGTTTTTCATCAGCTGCATTATGAATGGTTCCTATGAAGAATTATGTGTTTAATAAATATAAATACTTGATTCAAGCAGAAGGGAGGAGGAGGAGGAGGAGGAAGAAGAACAACAACTTCACAACTTAGAAGTGTTTTTTAATTATTATTATTAAATATTTTAAGTTGAAAGTAAAAATTACTTTACATTAAGTGCATTTGATTTTACAAAAACTTTGGATGGTATCAGGTTTTAGGTCAACAGATGTTGGGTGTTTGTGTCAGTCTTGCCCTCCTCCCCCAAAGAGAATAAATACATCCTTGTATTTCCTTCCATCCTCTCCTAAATATCAGAAAATTTAGTCTCTACTCAAGCACCATTCAAATGTTGGATATTTTATTAGTTTAAAAAATATTGAACTGAAATCTGATAATTTAAAAAATGTCTTCCCATACTTAAATCTGGAAACATCTAGACCCTAGAACCTGAATTTCTCTGGGTCTGCCTTATTTCCCCATGATTTCAACAGTAAGCAATGCTGACTGATATGGTAGTCCTAATTCTAATTTTTTCTTTTCTTTTCTTTCTTTCTTTCTTTCTTTCTTTCTTTCTTTCTTTCTTTCTTTCTTTCTTTTCTTTTCAGGCCTTTTAAATCCACTGTAGGGATTCAGAATATATTTTTAACTACTGTAGTGGTGTATTTTTTTCTTGCTTATTTGTGTCACATTAAACTTAGCTTATTATCAGCATTAATTAATAAACTACTACAATTTTTTAAAAAATTAGATAAAGAACAAAGTAACTATTCTTGGATGAATTATCTGTATCCTTGCATTGCTGGCTTCAGACTAACTTTTGCTGATGATGAGGAATTTATTTGTCTAATCAAACCAAAGACTGCTTTCAAGTTTGATGAAAAGAAAGAAAGCAACCTGATAACTTCTTTCATGTAGGATTTGAGTTTGAAAGTCATGCTATTCTTTTGAAAAACTTACTTAATACATGTTTGGGGTGTTGCGATCCTCTGTGAATGCTTTTATAATTGTTCTTATTAAGTATTGATTATATACAGAGTTTTAACGTAAGTGTTAGGTATACAGCTCACCAAAATTTGGTGTTGACTTCACTTTCTTTTTATCTGTACTTCAGAGCTTTACACACTTTCCTGGCCTGTCTACTGTCATGCCTGGAGAGACAGATACATTGTACCATCAGTTACTATCGTTTTTCTAGATTTGAGACCTAGAGGTCTTAAAGTTGCTGCAGTAGTCTTTAGGAAACATGTTTTATTAAGCCATGGATATTGCAGTTACTTTCAAACTCTATAGTGTCACCGATATTTCTTCTTTACCCCTGGCACAACAAGAGCAACCACAGATATCTATGGCTTCTCATTTTCTTAGAGCACCTTCTTACATGCTGGTAGTCTCGAGCTGAGCTCTCCAGAAGCAGATCTGAGATGAAGTGCAAGTACTTTATTAAGCCAGGGTTCCCAGGGGAACTAGTGAATGGGAGAAGGGAAGAAGCCAAGTAGGGGAATGATTTCAGCAAAATTCCTTCCTTACCCTGATCCCTGGGACAATTCTGTAGCACGGTTGCCCCCGAGAGTGTGTTCCTGTCATTGAGACCTGGCTTTCCCATTTGGCTGTGGGCAGGTAGGAGAGGGACCATAAACTTCCCAACATTTCTGCTCTCCAAACAGAAAGCAGCTCCAGGGTTGAAAGAAGATCTTCTTAAGAAGTTTTGAGAGCCATCTTTTGGAAGCCAAGCCTACGAAAGCTGGGAGATGGGTACCAGGTTGATCAGTTATCAGGGATCCAGTGGGTGTGTGGGGCAGGGCACTGAGAGGGTCTGGTGCACAGAACAACACACCATCTCACTTGCTTCCTCCCTCCTGAGCCACATTCTGCATCCCTTTGGCCATTTCTTGGTGTGAATTAAGAAGCTGTGTAAAATTCATTTTCTTCCCTTGAGGACGTAGTAAGCTACTGCTATAAAAAATCTAAGTCCTAACATAATTGCAGTGTGGAGAGAAAGCCAGGTAATTTTCAGCAAGTAGAATTCGTGCATATATATAAGTTTGGAAAATAAAATCTAGAATTTCAAAACCTTCCTTAAATGAATGCCATCATGAATAATATTCTCAGTGTCCTATAAGAAGAAAGTTATTCTTGCTAGAAGTATTAGTTATTGGATAGTTATTCTTGCTAGAAGTATTTCCAAGCATACATGTTAAATTTATTATTTTTTGGCTCTCATGTCTTTTAACCATCTTCTACTTCTTAGGGGACAATTCCTATCCAAATCATAACAGGCCCTGACTTTAGGTACACAATGAGCATTCAGCTTACTTTCTTTCTTGTGACCTCACAACCTTCAATGAGAAATGGTTGAAATTCCAGCTATGTAAGAGTTTGGTGAAGTGTGCTCCATTCGGCAAACTTATTTACTGTGGAATGCATTAAAAAAAAAAAAAGAAGAAGAAGAACTGATGGATAAAGGACTAACTATTGAAGAAAGGTAGTAGAATAAAATATTAATTGTAGCTGGGCATGATGGCGCACACCTGTAATTCCAGCGGCTCAGGAGACTGAGGAAGGAGGATCAGGAGTTCAGAGCCAGCCTCAGCAAAAGTGAGGAACTAAGCAACTCAGTGAGACCCTGTCTCTAGAAACAATACAGAATAGGCTGTGGGCGTGACTCAGTGGTTGAGTACCCTTGAGTTCAGTTCCCGGTATGACACCTCCTCCCCACAAATGAATAAAATATTGATTGTTAGAATCTAGGTAGAAGGGATATGGTCATACCCATCCACTGAATGCGTGTATATACAGAAACACAGAAACAACAACAACAACAAAAACAAAACAAAACAAAACAAAAAACCCCAGAAACGACCTTATTTATTTTAAAATAAAATGTTAGAGAAAAGAAGTATTAACTAACAATGATAGCAGGATTATGTGAGGTTTGAAAACAAAATGTCAGCTTTCTATTCTGGAAAATGCTTAAGGCTTGTCCTGTTTTTCAGTTCAACTTTTCAAAGGTTGTATTAGCATTATTATTTGTTCCAGCTTCAGTTTCCCCCCAAGGTTTGGAGAAACTGGAAAAGGTCTGACAGTCTCGTGTAGAATATTGTCTCAGATTTTAGCTGTTGCCTTTGTATTTTATAGATTCCTGGGTTAAGGTCTTCATGTATTGCTTTCGGGTGTGAGCATGGTGAAGTCCTTGTAATTTTCTTTCCCAGGGGCCCTGCTGGTGGTGAGAGTAAGGACTTATTCTGAAGACAGGAGTTCTTGTCCTCTCACCCACTCTGTATACTCCCATCTTAAATTGAATATCCTGAATCTTTTCCAGACCTGAAATAGGGGCTCCCCCACCAAAACACTCCCCCAAATTGGAATTGATTCCTTTGTTTGTTGTATTTCTATAAAAGAGAGGGGGAGAAATGAGCAAATTCAGTTCAGCTTTGTAATACTTTTTGAGGTTCTGGGAGATACATCTATAAAATATTGATAAAACCATTGGAAATTGTTGCATTTGAAAAGCTTTTATCTGATTTTCTTAAAGAGAGAAACAGGCATCTCGTATTGTCCTCAGGCAGTTTGCTGAGGACTGAGGACTAAAATACACTTTCCCAGGAGGGGAACCAGCCAGTGACCTTGGGCTGCAACCACCTGGCAAATCAGCTGCTTCATTCCTTTCCATATTTCTTGGCCTGTGGGGGGAATCAAGTGTCACCAAAGCAGGAAGAGAGCAGTTGGAGGAAGACTCCAGCAGCTCTTTTGGTGACAGTGCTGACATGATCTCTTGACCTTTCCCATATGACTGGAGGACTTAGGA